AAAATGGGTTTTAGTTTTTAAAATATGATCTGCAGTTGCTGTGGGGAAAAATAGGGTGTATGTGCTTTCACTTTGAGAATAAGTAGAGTCTTTTGTGAAGCTGAGCCACTAACATCTAGAGTGTTTCATATAAATTCATGGAATCAAAGTGTATGCTTCAAGTATGTCTCTAGTTGTAAATTTAACTCAGTCCTCATAGTTTTTTTCATCACTGTGGTGGTTCCTCATTAGAAGAGGAGATGCTAATGTCACAGGAATATAGTGTATGTGTATAATGTGGAAAATATTTGGTCATCACAGATCTCTACATGATCTGACTTTGTTCGGACCCTTTTGACTGCAGTACCTTAATCTTCAGAAGCAGTGATTTCTGTGTAGAGTGCATGAGCAGAAAAGAAGTGTGTTTTCACTACTTGTCACTGGATGTGAAATTCTGATGTTTCTCCCTTCTCTCCTGTGCTCCAATTGTTTCCCCTCCAGCAAATTGAAGAATTTTCTGATGTTAACGAAGGAGAGAAAGAAGTAATGAAATTATGGAATCTGCACGTTATGAAGCACGGGTATGTTGTTATAAACTTAGCTTTGGTACAAATGGTATAGATTTGGGTGACTGTACTGCAAATTGCCAAGCACCTAATTCTTGTTGTGTGGGAAAGGTTCATAATGCATGATTTGGTTACATGCTTTTTATTTGTTAATTTTAAAAAAATCTTGCACGTAGCTCTATGTCTTTGAAAACAAAAACACTGCAGATATTGACACTACATGATAGACAATTTCTGCAATTATATTGATAAACGGTGTTGTAGGGTGTCTTCTATTCCTAGTGTTTAATTCGCTAACGATGGATTTTTGATTTGACAGGTTTATTGCTGACAATCAAATGAATCATGCCTGTATGCTGTTTGTTGAAAACTATGGACAGAAAATAATTAAGAAGAACTTATGTCGAAACTTTATGCTACATCTGGTCAGCATGCATGACTTTAACCTCATCAGCATAATGTCAATAGACAAGGCTGTGGCCAGGCTTCGGGAGATGCAGCAGAAGTTAGAAAAAGGAGAATCGACTTCCCCAACAGATGAGGAATCTTCGGAAGAACAAAGTGGGACGACAAATGGATTCAGTGAAAATAACATGAGAGAGAGAATTTTGGAAATGGATAGCATCTCAGGTGTCACAAAACAGAGCAAGAAACAGAAGCTCTGAAGTCAAAACGGAAACGCCATTCAACGGACAAACATTGAAGTGACATTCTAGGGTGCATGAGCTCTATAAAGAATTACACACAATGCAGAGATTCCAAACAGGCACTGCTGGATGGAAATAAATGATTTCAGCAAGGATATTGTTTTAACAGGGTTTCTATTCAGTTAATTATGCAAGTACTACATGTATATCAGTTTTGGTGATGTAACGACAATATTCTAAGAGTTTGAGCATGAAGAGCAATATGAAAATCTTTTTGTAATTTTAGTAATTAGTGTCTTAAGAACTTTATGGAATTTACATAATTTAAGTATATGTAAAACAATTTTTATATTAAGATTTTTGCATCTGTATCTGGCTGTTTTTTCCTACCATGAAGTTGTGGAATATCGGGGAAAAGGGGTTGGGATACAGTTTATGCCTTTCTTATTTAGAAATTCTCCAGTTAGCTTTTTGTGAAAATAACGTCTCACTATTTAAAATTTAACCTTGATCCTTGTATTTGAAATCATTTATCAATTTGATCGTAAATTACAAATTAAATTTTTGTTTTACACTAAAATTATGAAATTTCGCAAACTTAGCACTTCCTTTGTCTTGTGCCTGTTTGGAAAGATCTTGGCTTTTCATGTTACAGACACAGTGAAGTACCACCTTGGCTTTTTTGAGGTTACCAGCAGTTTGGTTTTCGTGGATAATTCTGATGTATCGATCACCCAGTGTACCATTTTAAACTTGAACATTAACTCCTTTATATTTTGAATGCCCATCTACACAGCTTCACAAACTATTCGATGCAAGGCCCTTCTGCCGGGGCCGCGCATCGCCGTGTGCCATGCTAAAGCCGAGAGTCCATCGCCAGCACGTAGGCATTTCGTCGATTAACTTCCTTTGAAGTTCATGCCTGCTGTTTCGCCTGAGCACAGACTGCAAGTCCAGGCCGTGGGTTTAGCTTTGGCTTTTGAGATGCCACTCTTGAGGGAAAAATGCACTGTAAAATTGGACCAGAAAATGTGTTGCACTTCTTATGCAAGTATTCTGTGATGTATTGTATTCAATACAGATACTAAGATGCTGACTAAACTATATTTGAGCAGTTTTGCACTGCTGTTAACACATTTTATGCATACGTTTACAGATTTTTTCCAATGGAAAGTGGTTTCACTACTGGTACAGTATCAGCACCGAAGGGTTTATTCCAGCAAGCACTGTGGTTGAGTGACATCACCTCAATTTTTTATTATCCTTAAGATATTGCATTTTTCATATTCTTTATTTATAAAGGAACAATGCTGCTGTAAATACAGGTATTTTTAATTTTTTATTTCATTCCATCACCATGAGATGCAGTTCCCTATTTGTTTAAGGGGTATATAAGCTTTCTAATGGTGTCTTCAGAAATTTATAAAATGTAAATACTGATTTTGATGGTCCTTAAAATGTGTTTAACTGTGAGACTATTTAACTAATGGTGTGGATGTGATTTGTCATCCAGTATTAAGTTCTTAGTCACTGATTTTGTGTACAAAAATAGGAAAGAGGGAAACTGCAGCTTTCGTTACAAACTTCTTGAATTTGCCAGCTCTGAGTTTTAGCAAACTCTAATTATGCCTCTGGATAGTACATCGAGCATTTCTCTCTGGCTTTAATTTGCTAAAGCTGTGCACATATGTAAAAAAATAGATTATTTTAGGGGAGATGTAGTTCTAGAATTATTGCTTATGTCATTTCTTAAGCAGTTATGCTCTTAATGCTTAAAAGAAGGCTAGCATTGTTTGCACAAAAAGTTGGTGATCCTCCAAAAAAAATAGTAATGAAATTACTTCTGTCCAGTAAACTTTGTATGTCATGTCAATTTATAATAAAAGCTGAAAAAATCCCTTTGTTTTCTATTTATAAAGATGCCTTTTCTATATGTACCTTTGAGAGATTTTGAAGATATCATGTAAGCTGGTTAAAAAGCATTTGAATGGTACAGTAGATGTAAAAAACAAAACAAAACAAGTTCAGTTGTTTAAATGAACCATTGTTTTTACATTAAATGTTTTATTTGAAATTGGCTTTTGTACATAAAGTTCAGTAATATAAAATCTGCCATGATGGTTGTCCAGTCATTTTTTTTTGTGCATGTAGAAAGGCCACAAGCAGCATCTAGGGTAAGCGTGTTCTTCTGCTTATTAAAATATACCTTAACGTGCTTCCTTTGCCAGATTGTTACAAATGTGGCTAGGAACCCAGGCCTTTGGGTCTACATAAATTGCCAAGTCCATGGCTAGATTATGGAAATTGTATTTTTCCTTTCTTGGGGGTGGAACTGAATGTGTGATATCCAAGTTATGTGCATTGATGTTTAGTTAATGGTTAATGTTTCAAGTAGCTTTTACAGGTTGTATCTGTGCTTTATCTGGAGCAGAGTTTAAAATGGGAATCCGTGCTTTTCTAAGATTGCAAAGGAAGATGGTCCAGGTAATACGGACTGAGAAGAATTGTGCTGCTCCTCAGAGTGCTGGCTGGTGAATAGCAGACATTGAAACTTGTTCCCAGTTAAATGTAATTCAGATTCTGTCGTAGAGGATATGACAGGTAAACACTAGACTGCAGTTGTCTAATGTGTGTTTTTTGTAAAGCTGGCAAAAGCTCTTTTAATATGGCCTTTAATATGTTCACAGCAGATTTTGTGATCTTCTGTATTTGGTGGAACCTTTAACGCAGCAGCTCTGTGAACTACAAGCCTGAAGCTAAAATCTGATGTGAGTATCTAAATCAGCCTACTAAATGCTGTATTTCCCCCTTCCTTAAAGTGATTTTTATGTTCATTGAGAATCAACACTATTGTCAAACCTGTCTTTGCAGCATGCTTCCTTCCAAATTAAGTATTTCTTAATTTCCAGAACGTTTGGGTGCTGTTGTCAACTGTACTTGAGTGAGAAGGTGTTTCTGTTGGACCAGATTCTCCTAAATCCGGTAGTCCTGGGTTGCACAACCGAGGAAAGGAACTTTGGATGAAGTAAGTTTCCCCTTTCAAACTTTCCGCTTTCCCACTGCTGGGATAGTTGATGTGAGATTGAACATACCCTCTTGGAGGGAAATACTCAGAATCCTAATATTAACCAGGATCTTTATTCTCGTAAATACGGTATTTATACAAGCTGCCCTGTCAGCAAGCTTATTCACTGGTTTCAAGCTTTAAGTTCCGTGTAAAGTAAGTGATGGAGTTAGCAGCAGAAAGCAGAAATAAGTTAAAGTGAAACTGTGCGTGTCCACTGTGGACTTTATTAGAAGGGGATTAAATAATATTGGTTCTTGCTCAGTCAGTAATGTTGACCAAAAAGTAACCTGTAGAATTGTTGCAGCACTTAAAACAACTTTAAAAGCATGGTAACAGTATAAATGGGGTAAAGACTGGTGGAATATCAAGGAATGGAGCTGACAAATACTGGAATTTGTGGGGGAAGAAGGGGGAGCATAAGAATATGATTGTAACTACATGAGACAGGCATTTAGATCTGAACTTTATAGGGAAATGAAAGTAAATGCAGACGTGAGGAAGCTCAGAAGTAACTTTTTTGGAACTTTGGAGGGAGTAAAGATGAAAGTAATTAGAAAAGGAGAAGCACTTAAACACGGGTGCAGTGCTGCAGCCAACCTAGGGTTGTGGTAACTGAGCTCACCAATATGCAGCTTTGTACCCCTGTTCAACAATTAACTAAACAATACAGAGTTGAGGGATGAAACTTTATTTAGAAAATTCAAATATCACTTGACACAAATGTCTTGGATGAGGTAAGTGAATGTTCTAGCTTCGGGAAACAACTTTTTCAGGATTTCCTAAGTTAACAGTTGTTTGTGAGGCTCCAAGAGCTAGAGGTGAAAGATTGTAAAGGAAGTGTCAAGTCTCTTATTTATCTAAACTGTTCTACAGTAACAATTGTTTCAATCCAAGCCTCTTCAGCTTTTTTTAATACCTCTTACTCAGGTCTCTTATCCTGAGATTCTTTCCTCCTCCCACATTTAAAAGGTACCGCTCTAAGAGGCAGCTGAACAGTACCTAACATGTATTGCAGGCAGCTAGTTTTATACTTAGTTTAAAAAACAAGAAAATGGGCAAGCTGGCCCTGCTCTAGATACAGCTAAAGACTAAAGTTGCAAAATCATGTTTAGCCTATTGGCGTCCTGAGCTCCCAGGAGGAGCCAGAGGACTGTACTAGCCCTTCACACTAATCCTAAGCTGCTTGGTTGGTATAGCCTGGACAAGCTGACAAACATAACCCTCTCCAGAAGTACCTGACGTGAAGATTTACACTTCATGTTCTAGGATGCTGGTAACTAGCTCCCAGAGCAGTAGTCTGACAGTCAGTGGTCTGATTAGGCTCACTAAAAGCAGATGAAAAGGTACCTGACCCTTCGATGCCTAGAATGTGTAGATATTTGCTAATTAGCTTCCCTTGAGTGAAAATATTGTTACAGCTAGTACCTGGTACCTGAGGTTTTACTAGCAAAGTAAATCTTGCTGTGCTTAGCCGTGGTGCTAGGCAGCTGCTGGCTCCACTGCCAGCCTGGCTGTCTCTAAGCAGGACTGCTGCTTTCTGACCATCTCCTGGGCTTCCTTTGCTGTAGCAAAGGAGCGGGATGCAGGATGCACTGCTTGACTGAAAATGCTCCTTGCAGGCTAGTTGAGAGAAGAAGCCCTAGAAGTTACAGGATAAGCCAGTACTAACTCCCCAGCAGGGAAATGGTTAAGTGTAGGGAGCTGGAAATACAGCAGGCTTTTACTTGCTAACACTGATGAATCTTACCTGCAGGTATCTGGTCTTTTTTACCTTTTATTTTACAGCAAATGCCAATGCCACTGCCCTACGCACATTATTTGAATGCATCAGAACTTACTTTTTCTCCTTGTAAAGTCTCTAAATCCCAGCTTCTGCTTGCTTTGGAAATTCACCTATCCCTACTGTAGCTGTCTAGGGGAAAAAGTACAGGCAGGATGACTAATCCTTTTTTGTGGGTAATTTCAGAATGGGGAACACTCATCCACTTTTTTTATGCTAGCACAGAATGCTAATGCAGTATGTTAACACTGAAGGAACAGAGTATGATGATTGTCTAAGTTTTATAAAAATACTGCTATTCTAACATGCTAAAATAGATATTTTCTGCTCTTGAGGTAAGAAGGTTTCTTAGCCCTAGCATTTCTTTAAAATAGTTTTTAAATCCAGTAGTACTACAGATTAATCTTTTGAACAGGAATATGGCTCTACTTGGTAACTGTATTCTAAGTATCATTTGCTCTTAAGGCAAACTGGTATAATGTTGTATAACTTTTTAAAATAAAAGTTGACTAATTCACAGGAAATTCTTAGCCTATGCTCCTTGATGGAGGGCACAGTGCTAAAAGAGCACCATATGCTCATTCTGAGTCGCTAAACATGTGCCAAGGTTCTTAACCCCACAACTAACACCCATCTCCCCTAACTCCAGAGCTGCAGTCCCAGCTACCTTGGGCTGTGCTCAATCTTACAGCCCAGGCTGTCCCCAGCACTCGGCACATTGACCTGCATGACTGTGCTTTAGATGCAAGGTGTTTGCTGGTATAATCCTGCACATGCTCTTTGGGATTTCTAGGAATCCCCCATTTCTTCATATGTCTCAGTTGATGGGGAGTAGAAAGCAAGGAACTCTCCTGAGCCAGGGCTCTGTGAGGAATGACAGCTGCCACCTGCATCTCATCCTGCCCCAGCAAACAGCAAGGCCTGCTCCCAAACAGCCACCAAAGCAAAGAAGAGCTGGGGAAGGTATTAAATTCAAGTGAGGCTCTAAGTACTACCATGCAACTACTCTAGAAAATATATTTCAAGTGACAACATAAGAAACAATTCAAAAAATATCTGAAAACAAGGCACTTGCAGAACTGTGAGAGATTTACCAGGCTACGTATTTAAACAGACACGTTGGCTCAGAAATCCTTGTTCTGGGGGAAGGGACAGTACCGTGTGTGGAAGAAATGGCTATTGCATTGCTGAGCATTGCAGGCAGAGCCCACTGTCTGTTCAGCTGAGGCAGCACTGGCTACGTGCAAGGAAGCAGGGCACAACGTTCCTGCCCTGAATACTGTGCTCTCTGTGTGGTATAAAGCAAGCTTTGGTCCATTGACTCCAACCTCCCAAAGTTACAGGCTTATTTCACAGAACAGCAGCATTAAGCAAAGTTAATTCCATACAAGTGTACCCTGAGACTAGAGTACAATGAAATACTGATAAAAATCAAGTCTAGAAAAAAAAAAAAGTAAAAAAGTCTTTACGGACTGTTTAAATTAATTTGCCTAAGCAAATGCTGTTTAACTTTTCCCAGAGTAACAAATCAAATATTTCACAATTACTTCTTTTTAAATGAATCCAGTAGGAAGTACAATAGAGTGGAGTTCAAGTAATATAAAGACAGGTTTTTGTTAACAGATTGTTCATATCAAATAGCTGGAAACCCAGATTTTAATATTACACTTTATACCAAAAACAAGAATCCCTTCACTTTTTTGAGCTGCTAGAACACTAAAACCTTCCAGCCTGGGTATGAGAACGAACATCCAAAATAGAGAGAACCGCAGCACTGATCGAGTACCCAGTCAAAGACGACTTCCCTGTTGTTAGAGCTAATGGTTACTCTAAGCTTGGAGTTTCCTCCCTCGGTGCTGGAAGGCCCTAACTGCACAGCCTCCATGTCAAATGTCACAGTCGATCCAGAGGTGACAGCAGGCAGCTGGTTGGTCATTTCTTTTCCATTTACAAAAACTGCCCCTGAAACAGCCAAGATACCAAATGTTACTTCTCACTCAGCATGCACTAGCAGGTGCCTCCCTGTTGTTACAAGTTTTAATATTGCAAGCAGGAACAGGAGACTTGTGATCCTACCAAACATTTTTACTGCAAAGTAGAATGTACACAAAATGCAGTTTTAGTTGCGTGCTTGTTATGCAGGGTGAGGGCTAAGGAATAGGGGAATTACGTTGAACGATGGGATTCAGACTCACCATTTGTGCTAATGCACACAGCTTTATCGCGCTGCAGAGAATCGTAGCCGTTCTGCTGCTCCACACACACCCCTAGGCTGTCTCGGCGGTCTGGCTGCCCCACGGTTTCAATTCTACCAAGCAAAAAGCGAAGTCAAAGCCTGAAGCTTTAAACCAAATTGTACAATGAAATCCAGAGAGTAGGACCCTGTCATCCCTGACGTCTGTACTGCTCCATCAGCCCTTAAGGGAGATCTTTGTTGAGTGACCAAAGGTCCTACTGGCCCTTCCAAAAGCACAAAAGCTCCACTGAGCGATGCTGTAACCACTGATCTGTACAAAAGGTAAACCTGCCACTTCCAAGGTTTCACCAACATTTAATAGAATTATCCACTATTCTAAGTCTTTTGAGATGATTTCCAATTGGAATATAAGAATCAATGACTGTACAAAGAACTATAGTCTGTAGTCATCTATAATATTGCTGATCAATACCACGTTTCATGGCAAGACAACTGTAATTTCAGCAAGTCATCAATGAGTAGTCACGTGCTCAAAGGTAGCTTTGTATGAAAGCTCCTTTTTTGCTTTCTCTGTAATTCTGCTATATTAACCTGATGGGGAAGGCTGAGGAGTTTGGTTTTTATCAATCTATTTTGTGCACATGGACATTTAAAGCCATGGAAGAGCATTTACAAGTCTGGTTTCCACTCAGCTGCAGCTCTTGGTTGGGAGAAAGAACTGACATTCTCAAGGGAATGAGGAAACAAACTGTGCAAGTGCCCTGGGATACAGTTCCCTGCAGCTGAGGAAAGCTGCACCCTTGGTGCACTTCTGCATCCACGTCCCTTCTCTTTTAGTGCCATTCCTCAAAGGTGCTAAATCAGACTTGCAGGAGAGCCCAAATAATATAGGAACTCAGTTTTACTAACAGACTAACTCAGCTGCTCTAAACACCAAGAGCAGGAACAGTACAGAGCATCACTGTAAAGTGTCCTAAGCTTTGCTTTACTAGACTGATCCTTGCTACCAAGTTAACAACTTCCTATTTTCCAGCCTCTATGATCCCTGGAGCTTTTTTTAAAAAAAGTTTACAGACTACATTGCAGGAACAATGTTTAATAAAATACAGTTGATGCCTTCTCACTACTACCAGTGCTGCAGAGCAAAACTTTGTGCCTCCATCGCTACAGTAAATGGAGCAGTTTCCCTTTGTCTCGGAGCACACGGGAGTAAATCTATGAGTGATCACGTGCACTTCATTTCTGAAGAGCTGCCAGGAGCTTCTTCACAAGAAGATTACAAAGCTGCTTCACGAACATCTGTAACATGAATTTTCCTCACGTTTTCTCAGGAGTGAATATATTTTTGTTTCAACAGCTGGAAAAAGACAAACACTAAATACTATATCTCACTGCTCAGCAAAATCTCACACCTGCTTTGAAACAGAAAGCTACTCTCAAGTTTATTTTTGAGGCTGTCTTCAGTCTTACGTTTCTTCTCTTACATCTCCTGCAGACGCGTGCTTGTTAGTGCTCTGCCATGCTGAAACAATCTCCTCTTGCAGGAGAGTCCACATTACCAAACCATAAAGCAGAAGATTTTCATGTGTTACCAATAAAAGAAGATAAAAAGAACTGGTCTGAAACAGAACTGAGGGAAACGTTAAAGTTCTGCCTTTAATTGCACAGGCACTTTTGAGCCAAGAGATATTAAATCTAACAACAGATTTCAAATGAAAGCTTTGAATCCTTTTATCCCATCTCTGACATGGCAGCTGAATACATTCTTACATTCCAGCCTTCTATAGTCAAGATAATTCATTATCAGAAAGGCAGAAATGGAACACTATGGAATAAATTATAAAAATGCCATAAACAAGCCTCTTAAGTTGCCTTTGAGGGTTGCCTACTGTACAGCAAGAACAGTTTTATTTAACCAGAGAAAGACGGAATAGATGTTCAAAGTCTTTGAGGTCTATAATTACAAGTGATATATCCACAAGGAAGTGGATACTAGAAGATAGATGTGCTACTTTGACTAGGGCTGTGCTGATGTTGCAAACAAATCAAAGGGAACAGCGCAGAGAGGGAAGCTTCGTTTGCTGCAGATGGACCAGACAAGAGCACTCCACAAAGTACTTGCCTGAACGTTAACGTCTGCCCACAGGAGTAAGTAGGAGCTTTGGAGTAGAGCACACCGCATGACTGCGAATCGTTCCGCAGCGCTATGTTTCTTCGACTGCTCAAACTGTAGCCCTCCAAGCCAGTTGTCCATTCTTCAAAGAAAAATAAGGATGAACATCAACTAGATTAGGCATTATCTGCACAAAAACCACTCTGCTGCATGATCTACCTAAGAGGTTTACCTCTTATGAAGCTTAATTTATTGTTGAAAACAAGATTTTTTTCCTCGATGGAAAGATTTTTTTTTTCCAAGTCATTTTCAGTTACAAAACCTACTGCCTTTAAAAACCTTGAAAGAGAATATAAAACTGAAGTTTTCTGTCTCAGTCAAGAACAGAACTAGCTTTACAAATGAACTATACACTTGTTTTGTGAATGCAGGTCATCAAAAAAAAATGATGGAGTAGGAGTGGGAGACAAGGGGACAGGAGGAAAATCTTCAGTTCTGGCCTGTAAGCACTAGCTAAGTCTGCCTTTTTTTTTTTTTTTTTTTTTTTTTCTCCATCAATCTCTTATTTTTGAGCTCATTTCTCAGAAGAGGGCAACACTCTCCTACCTTAAGGAGGGCAAAGTCTTCAGGCTAACACAGGAACCAAAAGCTGAAACAGTCCACATTCTCTGCTTCTCTTTGCATTCAATGCTCAAATGGGCTGCAGAGAAAGAGCTGTCCCCACCTCAGTAGTAGATCTGAGCACAGCCCACATTTCATAAAAATATGAATTAATAAAAATGGTGAACATCCAAGTTTCCCATCGATGCTTTCCAAGCCCAAAGATAGAGCTACCTGGTGGAAATGCTCACTAACCACCACTCATACCACAAAGCTGAAAGCCAAATTAAGCAACAAATAAACTCTAGCATGGAATGAGAATGCATGATATGCATATTCTAAGTGGGGAAAGGCCCTCATCAGACAAAAACAAGCCCCCCAAATTATTCAACCATAGACCTTCAGGAGTCTTGGACTTATGACATGGACTTAGGCTCAAGCCAAATAGCAGGGTAACAGTACCATGGGGAACTAGCGTGGTGTGGCCGATCTGAGGAACGCTCCACGGGCTCCACTCTTGCCGCCCATCTCCTCGGGCACAGACTCTGAACTGGTAATCGACGTTAGGATCAATATGCAGCACTATGAACTCCGTCTCCGAGCCGACATAAACGTCCTCAAAGTGACTGGCAGTGCTCTTACGATACTGCAGTCTGTAATCTTGTGGTACGAAGTCCTCATCCACCTAAAGAAGCATTTATTTCATTAATGAGGAGCCCTGCTCTATTTTTACCCCCACTTTCCATCATAGAAGATTAGGGTGGAATTGCAGGCTGCGATTCAAAGAGTTACAAAGTGTTCAAGAACAGAAAATTTGCCCCAGAAAATAAAATCAGCTTGAACCAATTAATACAAAATTCTAAAGTCAAAACTGAAGATAAATTTAGAAAAGAAATTTAGTGCCAATTTTTAACAGCAAAGGAAGTTTGCTGTTACCCTTCTTAAATTATTCTAGAGGATGATTTCCCATTCTCTGATACCTCTAAGTCAAAACACTGAGGTGTTGTGCTTTCCCTAAGAACACAAGCACATTTAACTATAACAGCATAACGAAACTGGTTCAGCCTCTTCTGAATGAAAGCACTGGCTCTTCTGAAGTGTCTTCAAGGGGGACAAAAGCACCATGAAGTTCAGTAACAATGAGAGCATCCAGCTATTGTTGCTCCACAAATGAACTAGACAGTTCCACAGCACAAAGGGCTTCATGTGAATCACATCTCTCAGGAACAGGCACTAAGGTTTCTAGATGCTATTTTACAAACAGTAGTCATGGACCACAGATATGATAAACAAATAGTAAAGTGTATCTGATGAATTTATCTTTCAGTATCTGAAAGTGGCATTTCTTGCTTGTCCAATAGCTTCTAACTGCACACAGGAGTGGACTATCCCTTTAAAAATAGTAGAAAATTTAGAAAGTGGTATTTTCTGTTTCTTTCAAGAAAGCACAAGTTTGAATGATTTTCTCCCAGTATATTCTACCTACCTTACACCATCGGACTAATATACCTCCAGGCTTCTCAACGAATTCCTCTAACTGTACAGGTGGGCGAGATGCTACAGTCCCATGTCTGAATATTTGATTTTTCAGTATAGTAAGAAGGCAGTCGTCCAACTGGGCAGATAAACAAGGCACATCGACCAAGGAGGGAACTTCTGGTAAGCTAAGAAAGGAAAGATAGCCACATCGAATGGGGTCACCTCCCACAAATCTGTATGTCTTTCATACATTTGAATTTATATGTATTTTGTGAGGAAAGAACAGCTGTGGAAATTGGTATGCATAGTTCTAACTATGTCTTTGAGTCTTTTAGAGTCTTTTTAGTCTAGATGCAGAAAATATCCAGCGTTTTGGTCCTAACCAGACTCTTTCTTGGGAAATACTCTCAAATACAGTGTTCCATAGGGAGCGATTTCATAATTCACAAATAAACAGCCTGTATTTTTACAGAGTATATTTTTACAGAGGTTGAAAACTACTCCATCTGTGATTGCCAACTCAGTGAAAGTCTATGAAATACAGAGGACAGCAAAAATCTCAAACAAAACTTCTATGGCAAAGCAGTGGAGGGCTTTTATTTCAAAGGAAAAAGAGATCCTCTGTAAAGGAATAGCACATGTGCTGCTGTCTCAGATCACTGTATCAATATCTTACCTATCTAGCTGAATATGTAAAGCTTTTTTTGTAAAGCTGCATAGTTTCTCATTCTCTTGTCCCACATCTCCATGGACTGCACTCTCTCCTGGAATCAAATGGTAAAAATATTCCTAATGAGAAAATGTCCAAGACAGGCATTCTTCACTTCAAAGAATAACCAGTTCTGACACGAAGAACCAATTAAACATGCAGCATTCTCAGCAGTTTTGCTAGACTCTTAGCTAGAAAACAAAATTATAGGTAACAATATAAAGCGTATCTAGCAACTTTTGAAACTCTCAAAGCCTTCTGCAGGCACACCCATAACAGATGTAATAATTTGCCTCAGGTCTCAGACAGTAGCAGAACTGGGGGCAGATGCCAGGCAGATGTGGGTTCTTAATTCTTTCCTCTATATGCTTTAAAGGGAAGGGGTGGGGGGAAGGCAAGGCACCTTCACAGAAGAGAATATCAAAAAAGCTGAAACTTAAGACCAAAAATGTAACTTCAGTCACTGTTTTGCTTACTACAATCTAGATAGTCACTATTGCCATAATGTATGAAATAACCTGTACATTAAAGTGTGGGGATGAACAGAAATCTCTTCATAAGCTTTCCATGTAAAGTCATGGCTCACACTTCAGCTGACAGAGATGCATGTTCCCTCTCCTATCTGATGACTTTATGGTAATTTACAGCATTAGCAAGCTCTGTCTCTGTTTCCAAGTGGAGGATTACAAACCTCTAATGAAAAACACAAGTCATAATTGGCAGCAAGAGGTTTACTGAGCATGGAGGCTTAACTCCTTTCTGGCTCTGATGTAATCTCTCTGCTCACTTTAACGACACGACAGAGGAGAGAACTGTGACCCAAGGGATAGGAAGGGCACAGCTAGGCAGTATCTCACGAGATCTCACAGAAACTTGTATAAAACACAGGCAATCCTTGTCACCACCTTGTGATTCAGTGACTCTATATGTAAAATAGAAGCAAGTTACTACCAGCTGTTCCAGAGGCTGCAGTAGTAGCAAGAAACCAACAACTTAATTCTTAAATGCTGTCGCTTCCAAGCCAGCCTGTTCTTTAAGCACTAAGCTCCCAGCTGAGAGCAAGCTGGTAGCTTTCCTGCTCGTGGGAGACTGACTGCTCAATGCACTTTAGTTCACAAAACTGAGATCATGTTGAAAGAAAGTTAAAGTTGAGACATGAGAACAACGCAAAAAAAATTGCCAACATACTCATGGCTGAGACATGCTCCAGTAAGTTCTCCAATGTGGGGAAACAGTCAAGAGTGACATTCCTTTCTGGCTAGGTATTTAGCAGTACTAAGGCATGTTCTGCCCTCTACACATTTGTTTTTATCCTCAAATCTCTTGGAAGAACCCTCTTCCGTATGGCAGCATGCATGCTTGTGTTCCCCACTTATAGGAAAAATACTTGTTTTACTTCATCTGCTATTCCATAAGCTGTAAGTAACTTCCAGTCACAAATGTTAGAACATTCACTCATTCAGTCTGAGTGGTAACCCACTTTCCAAAATTAAACAAACTCAAATTTTAACTAATTTTATCATGGTAATGAGAATTACTGGTTTACAGCAGATGATGTTCTTCCTTACAGAGGACTGACATAAAATTTATTCACCACTGTAATTCTGCTGGACTCAGCTGCTAACTTAGTAAGACCCACAGATTTTTATTTCATTTTAAAGCAGCCAGACATAGCTCTCTCTCAATCGTCCTGGGGTGCAACTCTTCAGCAAGATGCTCTTCTGAAAGTAGATGCTGTCTGTCTTTAAAAGTAGCTACACTAACACAGGTACAATCACCCCTAAGCATGCAGTGAAATATTAAAAGATGTGTTTGTAGGAGATAATACTGATAGTTCTTTTCCTCCATCTATCCACTTGTAATGCCTTTGTAGTCGTTGGTATGGCCCAAAATGAGTCAAATATATTGATCATAACAGGCAGCTTCCGGTCTTCAAGAGAAGATGTTCTAGAAGGCAGAGCTAAGACTTAAACAACAGCTCCTGCCTTACCTTCACGGAGCAGGTCATCAGCTGTACTGACTCCATGCTCTATTAGTTTCTGGCATTCATCCAGTGGTTTGATGCTCTCTTGCTCTATAGTATCTACTTCCTGCAGCAGTGACACCAGTCGCTCATCCAACAGCTTCTTTAGGGTCCCTTTTAAATCATTGAAGTGTTGCTCGAGGACATCTCTGGTCAACGTTGCACTCTCTCTAATCTAAATTGAGGTAACCAAAAAGAGAGACTCAGGATTAAAAAAAAAAAAAATCAAAGATCATACATATCTTTTATTTTTCTGACCACCTTATGGGCATCTACCAGTGAAAAGAAAAAAGACCACAGGTAGTTGGCAAATTAACATAGTCATTTCAGTATAGGTACAGCAGGGAAGGAGGCAAAGAAACTAGCCTGGACAAAGGGAAAAGCATATTAGCTAAGCAAAGCAGGGAACGTCTAAGGCTAGAGCTAGATACAAATTGGATTATTTGTAATTCAATTAAAGAAAAATCTGATTGTTCTCTTGGTCTTTCCTGCCCATTTTCACACCTTCTGTCATCCTACTCAAAACTACCCTACCATCATATACGGGTAATCCACACTGGAAAGAAAGAGTATTTGTCTTCTCTCTGTCTAGAAGCACTTTGCCTGAGTGTATCGTCACGCTGCTTTTTTAAATCCTACCGTAAGTACTTTCTTTTTAATCCTACTAGAGCTACTTTCTTTTTAATCTTTTTCAAATAGCCTCCTGTGGATTCTTTTGGATGTGTCTGTGCTCCAGGAATACAGGATAGGGTGAAGAGCAGATCTGTTTTGATTCTGGAACAATGAGATCACAGAGGGTTCTTCGAGTGTTTATTAAAACATCTGCAAACTTGACATTTGCAAACTTGACGAATGTGATTTTTAGGGAACAAAATGCATTTGAACACACTGAACTAATGATCCAAAAGTCAAAAGTAAACATCTCCCTGTGAGCAGCCTAAGTTAAGCACACAAGGAAATGCTGCAACATGCATGCAGCCTTACACGTAATATCTAGATCTTTAGATGCATGGGTAACCAACACAGGAAGTTCTCGGGTTAGGTAAAATAAATTTCCTCTTCAAGTAATATTCATGCACCTCTGCAGCTGCCGTATAGCTTCGTTTCCCTTCTCTTGCCACTTTAATGCTTCACAAGAAAAAAGGAAGTATTTAGCTTTGTATAGGGGTGGGGTGGAGGAAGACGGAGAGAAAAGTGACTTCTCCAAGCCCCACTATGTGCAGATACAAACCCAGCAAGCCAACCTCAGAGTTACAACCGGCTACGCAACCAGCAGAGCGTAGAGGAAATACAGTCCTTAAAATACAGCACTGCACAAAGGCTTTCCAAAACCAGATCCCATTGGTCCACAAGAAAAGGATGTGACATAAGGGATCTAAAGCGCTCACACTTGGCCACCAGTCTCCAAACAATAAAGTTCTACCTGAACTCCAGTCTAAGACATGCGGCATTTCTGCTCATTCGGGTTCCTTGAGTTCCCCTTGCCTGGCTGCTTCTTTTTGGGCCAGAAGAGGTGAGCAGTCCCAAAGTTGGAAAAGGAGAGCAGAAATGAACACACTCGGGCTATGAAATTCCCTTAGTGAGGGAAAGGAGGGCGAGTTGGCAGAGGCGGCCCCGCTCGCTCTCAATGCTTATCAGGCCACAGCGGATGGCAGCGCCTGGACGGGGCGGACAGCGGGGGCGGACAGCAGGGGTGCATCCTGGCAGCAGCTGCTCCTGATGAGGCTCTCCCCTGGCCGCATCCGCGTGCCTGGTCCAGCCCGTGCCTGGTCCAGCATCTTCCCCAGCAGGAAACCCTCTCCTGGCCCCCGCACCCAGGGCAGCACCCAGCCGAGCTGGCACACGGGCAGCGCCGGGACTCGGAGCCACCAGCGCGCTGGGATGGTGCCCGAAGCGGGGCCCAAGCTGCCCTTGTTCGGCGGGACGGAGAGGCTGGAGCGGGGCCTGGCGCCCGGCGGCTGCAGGAGACCTCGCTCCCCAGCGGCTCCATCCGCGCAGGGAAGGCGGCTCGGCCGGAGCGGGCTCCCCAGCCCGCACCCCCCAGCGCCTCCGCCGCCCGCGGCGCCCGCGGCCCCCGCCGCGCCGCCCGCCCGGCCCCGCCGCCCGCCTCAATATCTCGGGGCGCCGCCCGACGGGGCGCCCGCCGCGCGGCCAGCGCTGCCTCCCGCCGCACCGATGCCCGCAAATAAAAACTGATTAAACGGGAAAGGAAGCGGGAAGAGGAAGGAAAGCAAGGAGGAGCAGCAGCATCAAGGGCATCTCTCTCTTTGGATCCGAGCGGGTGGCTCTGCAGCACCAAACGCGAGGAAGGTCGCTGGACTCCCCCGCGCGCAGAGGATGCGCCGGCAGCGCGTGGCCCACGGAGAGCCGCTGTGAGGCGCTCGGAGGCGCCGCCGCCGCCGCCGGAGACCCGCCCGCCTCGCGGGGCGCGCAGCGGCGC